AAGTATATACAGTAGTCTTCCACCAATATAATTCATTTAAAAGTGCAAACATATTTGATTTCAAAAAGAAAATGCTTTCTCCCTGCTTCTACTAAGTATAAATTGTAGAAAATAAAACACCAATGAGGCATGCTTCATTTGTAACCACTGCTCTCTGCATCCCTGTGTTATGGACGAAGGGAATGAGAAGTAAGACCAAGTTCAGCTCTTTGATTGTGAGCTGACACAGGCTATAGTTCTGGGTTCATGGTAAACGTGTGACCCAAGTTAAGGATATAAGAGTAAATCCTGGCCCATTAAGGAGACAACCATTGTTTCCCTTGAGAACAAATTTATTTTTAATCTTTAGATAACAACTGTCAATAGGACTCAAATTATGTGGACACTGTTGATGATATAAACATAACAAGAGTCAAAATAAAGGGAAATGTGGAAAAATAAGCTAGAAAGACTGACACTGATAGTTTATAAGTTACATATATCTTCATTTTCCTACTCAATCATGTATCACTGAGACAGCAACACAAGCCCCAGAGTTGTTCAGCAACACATTCAGGCATCCTAAATCAGGGATAGTGCAACGGTTCAAACATACTGTAACTTCCGTGTTGAATGTGTGTAAGCTGGAAGGATAAAGTATATTTCATTTGGTAGCTTTAAGTTAATGTTCTGTTTTGTTGCATTTTTGGCATGCATTGATGGATCTATATTTTTACCCTTGCCTTGGCTCTAGTGATTATCTCACTGTGGTTGCAATCTGTCCCCATTTCCAAAGAAGCACTGACCCCAATAATTCAGTTTTCTACAAATGTACATCAAATCTTCCCTCCCAAATCTCCCTCCAATTGTTAGCACTTTCTAGTTTCCCTCCAGCAAAAAGCCATTCTTTTTACAGGTCTGCTTCTGCCAAGTGTGGGTGTTTCCCTATGGGGAGGTTGAAATAGATTTTATTGGTGCCGCTGTGTGTAGGGAGGTGTGTGGGGGCAGGTATGTGTGCCCTCAGGATGGGGGTGGACGTGAGGCAAAAGCAAGAATAACAATGAAAAAGAGGAGTCACGTCAAAGGAATAAGTGGCACTAAGATGAACATCGTATGCAAAGTTGTGTGAGCCTTGGGTTCTGAGGTTGACAACTAAGGAGGCAGTGAAAGCAATCTCCACATCATATGGGCATGGGAAGTTTACCTGAGCACTGAAAATATTCAAGATCAGATTTCTTTTTAACTTAAAAAGCAAATGTGAGCTAGTTTATTTTTATAGGTGATAGACACACTAGATTTGAATGTCTTCTTTTTTTAAACTAAAGTGTGGCCAGATTCAGTTAGGGGTTGTAATGCTGCTTTATGAAAATAAGACCCCTTCTATGGGTCTAATGTGTTCCCCCAAAGTTAATGTACTTGAACCTTAATTCTCCTCTGCAATCTTGTGTGTGGGTGGGGCCTACTGGACGGTGTTTGGGTCATGGGGTGGAGCCTCACTGATGCCTTTGATTGATGTTTACAGGAATCCTCTCCCTTGCCAGACAGGATTGGTTGCTGACAGAGTGGGTTGCTTCAAGGCAAGTGCTGCCTTGTATTCTGGCCTTTCTCAGCATGCCCACTTACCCTTCTATTTCCTACTTACCTTTCTGTTTTCTGCCATGAATTTAAAGAACCAAAGCAGATGCTGGTGAACAATCTTGGATTTTCCTGTATTCAGAGCCTTGGGCTTAAATGACCTTCTTTCCTTTATAAACAACTCAGACTCAGGTCATATGTGATAACAACAGGAAATAAACTAAGACAACCCCACTAGGCTCTCTGCATTACCTCGGGCTCAACTTTTCAATGAGGTAAATTACTCTGAATCAATTGGCCAGGCTGACTAGAGTATCACCAGTTGCTATGTCCTTTCTAAAGACATTTGATGATGCAAAGTGACTTGGAAATCTGAGCGATGGGTCAGTCAAAGTGACACACAAAAAGAATTGACCATCACACACACAAAGGAGTAGGCTTCCTCAAGATTCTGACGATGGTTTTGAGAGTTGTGGAGAGTGGCAAGCAATTCCTATGTCCTGAATGTCATTCCAGAAGTCTTTCCCATTTGTTTTCAAAGTTTCTGCGTGATGCTCTCTGTGCCTCTACCACTGTGAGTCTGGGGAGTGGGCTTTTTGAGAGATATAGCAGAACTACTCAGTGTATACCACAGAGGTGATGAGCAGAGATTTCCAGCTGGATATACAAATGTAGGCACAAGCTGAAGCATGGGGATCCAGGACCACTCATGTGGATTTAAATGTCCAATGGATGCCTATGAGATTGTCTGAGTTTAAAACAGGGCTTGAGCAAATACACTAAAAAAAAATGCATGGCTGCCACACAGAATTCAACAAACTTCAATCACTTTTATTGTTCTGATTCTTACCAGCTTATAACTTACCACACTTTCCAAAAGCCTTGGATGTGTTTTTCTATTTTCCAGGGACATTGTACATTCTGAGAGCAGAGCCAAGTGTTATTTAATATGATGCGATGGAAGCCAAGCAATGTCCCTGGCACACAGTGGGTCCTTCCTGCCTTTGCCTGAGAGCATATGAGCTATTGTCTCTGACTGTGATGGAGAAACCCAGGGAGAAGTGGGAGGAGGGGCCTCTGTCTCTCTGTGCTGAAGAGTCACGTACAGAAAGAGTCAAACGGAGAAACTGGGCTGTGCTCAGAGTGTGTCAATGGGGACACTGGAGTAAAACGAGGGTAGGAAGGAATCAAATTTGTGGGAAATCACTCAGCAATAATGCTATGGGTTTTTCTTATCCCTGTGTTTTGGCATACAAGTTGAAGTTTAAGTGACCTTCAAACGCAGAATCCCAGTAATGAATTTGACTCATCTTTGAAGTCATAAAAGTAATACTGCGTGTCGAGATGGGAGAAGAATTAATGAGGTAATTAACCTTAGTCAGCATGCTATGTGACCCTGGCCTGAGAAACAGATAACAAAACAGGGAAAATGCCTGAATGAGAAGAGGGTTTATGAGCAGTGGCAAAAGTAGAGGCTGCTAGAAAGGCATGCTTAAAGGGCAGCACTGAAGCACAGATGCTTACTGAACAAGCCACCAGGATTCTGCCTCTGGAAGAGAAGCAGGTTCGAAGTTTGGGGTCATGGCAGTCAGAGCATCACGACAGTAGTTCTAGTGGAGGAAACAGCAGGACAAAAGTTAAGTTTTCTTTTTTTCTTGTGTTTCTCTTCCTGGCTTCTCAGTGTTTCCCAGTTTCAGCATTTGACTTGCCCCCCTCCTGGAAGTTCACTGGAGTATTCTCTCCTATGTGGCCCGTGTTCTCCAACTCCATCAGCAGGTGTCATGAGGGACTTCCTGAAGTTACACAGAGTCTCAGGATGCAGAGATCTAAGTAGTCCAGGTATGAGCCTACCTTGACTTCTGTGTCTCTATTAACAAGTATGAATGAATATCCCTAGCTCTGTCAGCTTATGGCCGGGGCACTGACTTTTCTCCACACTCAATACTTTCTGTATTCTTCCTTGGAAGAACCATTATTAATTTGTAAAAATTGCTTATTTTTATTTGATTCCAATTTATTTTTATTTGGAGAAAGAGAAAGAGAGAGAGAGAGAGAGAAAGTCTTATCAGTTGATTCACTCAGATAATTGAAATGGCTGGATTGGGTCAAGGTGGGAGGTAGGAACTAAATCCAGGGCTCCCACATGGTTTGCAGGAATACAATTATTTGAACCATCACTGATGCATCCCAAGATCTGCCTTGTCAGGAAGCTGGAGTCATCACAAAAATTAATGTGGGAGGCTAGATTAAAACTCACTCTCATCATTGGCCTTCAGTTTATTTGAGCCATAAAGGTAGAATCTGGGCTTGGAGGAACTTTAATTTTGTAGCCACTGCTCTTAGGCAATATTGGAGGCCATAAATTCCAATGGAAAGCTTTCTGTACAACCCTATGACTATTCAAAAACACACTGAGTTTCATTGATTCAGGTGGAGCGTTTTGCATTGTGCACGATGTTGGAAATATGAATGTGTTCTTTCTGCCCTCATGTTGCCTACAATGTGGTCAAGGAATTCATGAGATCAATGCAGAAACTACTGCTGACCTACATCCTTCTTTATGACATTCCAAGGACATAGAAAAGATAGAGATATCTTGCACTGTACAGTGCAAAGTCAAGAAAAGATTCACAGTTCAGGTCACAGAAAGTATTTGCCATACACAATCACTGGGATCAACAGAAGATGTTAGTTGCATGTTTAGAGAACTGTAAACCATTGACATAGTTTGGTGTGCTGGAGGGCAGGGTATGTGAGAATACACTTCAGAGATGAGGACTAAAGATCTGGCCAGGGACTGGATCTTGACAGCTGTTTGTATAAGTGTTAAAACATGAAGACTCATTTCTGACATTGGGAAGATAGAGGATGACATTCCATAGTCTGGTAATTAATTAATTATTTTTATTATACAAGATTCTCATGTATGAATTCATTACATGCCAGGCATCCTTCTACACACAGGAACCATATCAATAAACAGAAACCATGCCTGCCCATGAAGTTTACTTTCTATTAGGGGAGATGATATGTGTTGTCAATAAGTAATTTTGTGTGAGAATTTTGTGCGAGAAGGGTGCACATACAACGGAAAGTGTGAAGCAGGTGGATCAATAGTGTCAGGTGCAGGAAAGGTCGTGTTTACAAATATGGCAGCCAAAGATGTTGACAGAAACAAAGAAAAAAATTGTGCAAATCATGGGGGAGAAGGGAGGAGATGGTACAGGAAGCAAGGACTGATGGTCGGAAGACCCTAACTTGAGAGTCTGCCAAGCAAATGTGGAAGATCCTGCAGAAGCCGCCAGGGTTGGAATTCAGTAAATCTGGAGGAGAGTAGCCAAGGCCATGTGAGGAAAGTTAGTAAGTGAAAGGGTGTCATGTGTCGTGCAGGGCTTTGGAGTTTGTATAAGGACTTGGGTGTGTACCAGGTAGATGAATGAAGCGTGATGGGGAGAACATGCAAGTGGAGCAGTGACCTGACCCAACTTAAATCTCAAATGAATCACTGTCACCGAGTTAAAATCAGAATAGAAGAAGGAAAACGAATCAGGATTCTGATGATGAAGTCGGTAGATGAGGGCGTCTCGGAACAAAAGGTAGCAGCAGAAAAGATGGTGAAGGGTAGAATCTGGATGTATTTAGATTTTCATCTTTGAACAGTCAGCCTTGGGGCAGTGAGAGTAACATTCTATATGGGACTAGCAGTTTTTGAGTATTTACTGTGGCCAGACACTAATAGGAACACTTTGTTCTGGGGTCCGTGCAATGGGTGTGGATGACACGAAGGTGTGAAGGGAACAGCTCCCCTGCTTGGCAGGGCCACGGGGAGCTACCAGCTGTTTGGCAGGGCCTGGGGAACTTCCAGCTGTTTGGCAGGGCCCGGGGGAGCTACCAGCTGTTTGGAAGGGTCTAACGGATGTCTCTCTGACCACCTTGATGTGATTTCACCCCGTTTGCATGGACACTCAAGCACCCCACTAAGAATTCTGTAATCTGTTGAGGCATTGCTGTTTACCCCTGTGAGACAGTTTTTGCAACCAATGTGAGCTTGAGAGTTAATGTTATTGATAATGTCTTGGTGAGTGGGCCTTTGACAATTTACACACAGGAGCACAATTAAGCCCATGCCATTTCTGGACACCTTATTGTGTACTTAACCATTGCCTCAGAATTTGGCCCAGACGTGCAGCACTCCTTCTGGGAAGGGACTTGAAAATATCCTAAATATTGGGCCCGGCGCAGTGGCGCAAGTGGTTAAAGGTCCTCGCCTTGCACGCCCGGGATCCCATATGGGCGCCGGTTCTAATCCCGGCAGCCCTGCTTCCCTTCCAGCTCCCTGCCTGTGGCCTGGGAAAGCAGTCGAGGACAGCCCAAAGCTTTGGGACCCTGCACCCATGTGGGAGACCCGGAAGAGGCTCCTGGCTTCGGATCGGCATAGTATCGGCCCGTTGTGCTCACTTGGGGAGTGAATCATCGGACGGAAGATCTTCCTCTCTGTCTCTCCTCTCTGTATATCCGCCTTTCCAATAAAAATAAATAATAATAAAAATAAATCTTTAAAAAAAAAAAGAAAAGGTGATTTGAGATGATGTTGAATATAATTCAACATTGTCTTGAAAACCTTTAAAAAAAAAAAAAAAAAAAGAAAATATCCTAAATATTAATGCAAGTGATGCGAATGAGGGCTGAAACTGCTATGGCAATAAATACAGTTATTTTTATCTCAAAGGCTAGCCTGTCTTTGCAATTTTTTGTAATATACAAAATGTAATTGTTTTAGCCACTTTTGTAATTTTAGCTAGAGGAATTAAGGATGCTTTTATTAAAGAAAAATGCTTTTAATTATTGTTTCATTGTTTTGGGGGTTGTAGAGTCTATAGGTGTAGGGGGATTTAACATTTAAAACTTCTGTTTTAGATTTTAGGTTTTTTTCTCTTGAAACCTATTTTCCCATTAAATCATGGGTAAATTGTAGAAATAAAAATGTGGTGGGAAAGTACTACTAATTAGCAGGTAATCGCATGTGCCTTGGCCTTGGAGTCCTGGCTGTCGTTCCATGGCTACTATGAAGAATGAATAATGGCTTGCTTTGAAGAATATGAATACAGTATTTTGCAGAATTATCTATTAGGGGCACCTGCTTAGCCTTGAAGTGCAGACAGAATGACCAAATGTCTGTACATGTCCCCTTAGTCTTGAAGTAAAAATAGAATAATTAGTTGCTTGTGCAGAAGCTTGTAAGGTGTCTGAGTAAATAAAAAGGACAGCTTTTTCTTGAGCTGTTGTGAGAACGTACCAAGTGTCTGTGTCTGTGTCTTTCTTTATCACCCACTCCACACTCCCTTCCCAAGCTCCGAACTCGGCTGGAGCTGGACTCCAGCAACTTTGCGTGTATTCATTCAACAATTTCTCCAAATAAGCCAATAAGGGAGAGGCCTTTGTTATTTTCCACTGTATACCTGAGGACCCGAAGCAGAGAAATTATATTGGAGTTAGGCATATCAGCTCAAATATTTCCAAGGTCTGATATGATGAAGATTCACATTAAGGCAATAGAATTGAAAATGGAGCCGGAAGTCAGGCTTTGAAGGTGGGGGGTGGGGAGGGGGCAAGCAGGGTGGGGAGTTAATGCCTTTCATTGTTAGGTATTTAATTTCCTTTTTTCTGAGCAGGTCATTTCAAAGGTGCCTATTAAGATGATACAGACAGCTTGAATCTCTTCCTTGGACAATAGTGCTTTTGGGGAATATATTCTCTGTCAGATTGTGAGAAAGTTGTGGGCAAACTGATCATTTTTATTCATGGGCAGAAGTATATTTTGATGTTACTAAGAAGGCAGTTGGGAATACCTGTGTGTAACTCTACCCTTCAACTGAGAGAAATGACGGAAACGTTGAAATTGAGGGAGTTGAGGAGAGGATTTTGTCATAAACATTCTCATTCTTTGCCCTAGTCTGCTGCTCAGTATGTTTCTGAGTGACAACATAACTTCTTTCTTGAGCTGATAGACGTTGACAATTTGCAAGGCCGGGAGGACTTTACTAATGAACATGGCAGCAATAAGGTGGCGGAGGAATTCAGCGTGCTGGATTAGGCATTGGATTCAGTCCCAACGGGCCTTGATTTTAGTTCTAAAAACTGAGGCTCAGGCTATAAACCTCATTTGTGCTTTATTAAAAAACAAAGACAATGGATAGAAAGAGGAATGGATGCCTCCAAGACATTTTAAGGATGGACGACATGTAAAATAAATTCAAGGTGCATAATGAAAACCTAGACTCTCCAATTGTGAGTATTTGAATATTTGAAGGTCCTTTGCTCACTATAGGGGGGTCTCATGTTGATTTTACCATTTTGACAATTTGCCCAAAGAAACATACAACAGTTAAACGTTACTATGATTTACAAATGTTATTTGTCATCACAGCTGGAAGTCTCTCTCTGTGACAGCTTTTCAGACAAGACAATCTTTCATATCTCATCCTTCATCTTCTTAGGGTATTGACTGTAGTTAATTCATTTTTCTTTTAGATTTCTTTGTTGGTGGGGATATTTGACTCTGCTAAAAGCCATCTTGTATTCATAATGCAGTGTCAAATTTCCACTCTGTATCCTCAGGCATACATTTAAAATATGTTTCAGGTCCTGGCAAGGTAGCCTAGTGGCTAAAGTCCTTGCCTTGAACATGTTGCTAATTCTGGCTGCTGCAGTTCCCATCCAGCTCCATGCTTGGGACCTGGGAAAGCAGTTGAAAATGACCCAAAGCTTTTGGACCCTGCACCTACGTGGGAGACCCAGAAGAGGCTCCTGGCTTTGGATTGGTTCAGCTCTGGCCATTGTGGCAGCTTGGGGAGTGAGCCAGTAGAAGGAATATCTTCCTCTCTCTGCCTCTTCTTCTCTCTGTATATCTGACTTTCCTATAAAAATAAAATAACTCCTTAAAAAATATTCTAGACAGCTACAAGGTGTTGATTTGGACTAAGTCAAATATAATTCAGATTTAAAGGATTTTACAGTTGTTACTAACCTGCGCTTTTACTGATGGATTGCAGAGTGCAGAGTTGCTAAATTGTGAGCCCAACAGACTGTAATTTGGAGGCCGACGCTTTAGCATTTATTTTTCATTTTTATGGGAGCAGGTGTGTGGATATTATGGCTTATAAACCATAATGATCAGTTTTAAGTTAAGCTGCAATTTACGAATGAGCTAGACTATGTGAATTTATCAGCTGCTTTCCTTTTTTAAAAGATTGCTGTATAAAATGTGTATGTTCAGGATAGATTTTAGTAGAATTGATTTTTGTGTGTCCGCCAGGTCACTTTAACGCTACATTGAAGGGAGAAATCACCACACATCAGAATTTCATAGCTGGGAAAGGTCATTTGAGGCCATGGAATCTTGGGAATTACAACTGTCTGAGCTAGGAAGGAAATGACATTATTTTAGTTTCTTTACAGTATGCACCTTTCCAGTGCTGGGGAGCTCATTCTTTCCCACAGGAAAGATACAGATACAATCAGTACAGAGACGATTCATCTAGGGGACAGTTTTGCAAATATTTGAAGACGTCGATCATGCTCACTTTTTCCTTCCTTCCTCTCCCGCACCTGGAAAGAGCCAAGGCCTGCGAAATAGAGGCAGACATTTTCTTCTAGTCTGGTTGAGTTTAGCTACCTGTCATTTATGATCCATTTTTGGGTCACTAAAAATATATTTAATAGGCTTCCTTATTTTCAGTCTTTTGTTTTGGATTTTTTTATGTTTTATGATACAATTCCTTAGGCTCAGGGAGTTCCCCTTACACTCTCCTCCTCTCCCCTTTGCCTTCCCCCCTTTTCCCCTATATTATAATCATCATATAGTCCTTTAACAACGGTCACAAGGCCATCATTCTGCTATTTAAGTGTATCATGACATTGTAGGTATAGACAATGGTGTATTTACAGTCTTTTGAGACCGAACACACAGACTACAAGAGCTTTCCTCTTCCTCCCTTTTACTCTTGTGTCTTGGAATATAATTGAAACAGAATCAAAACACTTGAGCTCATCAAAGAGATTTAGAGCTCTTTGTAATAATCTCTGCACTCACTTTTGGTTTTGATATTTTTACAGGTACTATTTTTTTTTCTAATGGTTTTGTCGTCCTTGGAAGAAAAAAAAATGAAATCACAATATAACCAAAAGTATTAAAAGATGTTGCTGTGTATGTGTGTTTATGTGCATGTGTGATTTAGTCATGTAACAGAGCTCTTCAAAAGCTTGTGGCAATGCTGAGCTTAAAGTTCATTTATGACAAATGGCTTAGAAATTCTTGTTTAGTTTTTCTTCATAACATGCCCTTTTCATGAACCTTTTGAAGGCACCTTGCATGGTATACCAATGGCTGAGTAGTGGGCTGGACACTCTTGCAGAGTCCCATCATAGACATGCTCTGGGCAACTCTTCTGATGTCCCAAGTCATTTTCACAGAGCTTAGCCCTTCCATATGGTTTTCACAGGTTTGTGGCAGTCATGCTTCTTGGCATCTGAATGTGTGACTACCCTCCATCTTTCACATAGTTCTTAACTCAAATAATGGTTACATAATTGAAATCATGTTTTGAGTTCTTTTGGTTCTT